CACCGCTATGCACAACTACGCTCCCCAATAACGCACTGATGACGTCACCGCGATTGGTGATGAAACGTTTGCAATCAATTTGCCCAACTCAGCGAGCAAGCCAACGACTAAATTTGGCTGTTTTATGCCTAGGTTTTCTACCTAAAAGTGCACCTTAAACAAGGTGTGCTCTCCCATTGCAGCAAGGTTGTAAAAATATTTCATTTTTATCGCGTAAGCTAGATGCAGTGTGTTGCCAAAATAAATTCGGTCTTCAAATTTTACGTCTCACAGATAGGCGGAATAAGAGAATTAGAGACACGCGTAAGAGGCTACGGCACATTCAGTTCAGTTGCGTCACATGTTTCTCTCTCTATCGTAGCTCAGAGTAAGAGCTCTATAACGGAGGTGATTGTTTTGATCCAAAACTGCCTGTTGCTGTGCGACACAGCCACATCTGTCAAGTTCACTAAGCATCAGTTCGTCCAGCCGCGAGGTCTCTAAACTTGAAGATGACAGGTATCAACATGAGTGAGTTGAAATGTAAGGGCTTTCATATTTGTACTATTACTGTCCCATCCTCATAAAAAACTGCTAATCAGTTTTGGGCAAGTCAGCTTCTGTTTTTCGCATTGCTTATAAAATTTAACAGCTTTACTTTGAAAGCAATCTGTTATCTGTCTTTCCTGACAAAAAGCATCATATGACTGTTTCGTTGTCTGAATTTAAGGCTATTTTCCACAGCAAGGTAACTGGGTATTGTGCTCCCCGGGAAGAAAAAAGAACGTTGTCGCAGAGTATTGACACTTACAGAATACCGTCCAATTCATGGCTGTGATAACCCTACAAGCGTTAATTCGATATCTCAATTATAAGGAATCAACCGATGTGGCAAGCGATTCCGTGTACACAAAGTAAGGCTACTTAGTTTTGAGTAATAGCCCAATGTTTGTTTTTCCCATACTTAACGACAGAGACTTAGGTGACATCTGTTGTGAAGCTGCAAATCCGTTTGCATTGACCATAATGCATTAATGGGTATTTGTCCCAAATTTTAACTTCTAAACTCCAAAGTGGAAATTCAACCGCCTTCCATTGGTTAAAAATCACCACCCACAGTCTGAGAATGGAAAAAACAAAAATGCTAAAATCAGGCTTCAGTGAATAATTCTGTCAGAAGATTGAAACATTTATTTTCCTGGGTTTTTACGGCCTTACTTTCACCTTACTGTGACCATCGACGTTTGAGTCACGTTAAATAATAAAAGAGGCGCCAGATGTTTTGCTCAGATGCAAGAACAAAGGCTTTCATTGGCTGCGAGTGTTTCGAACAACTGAATCAATCAGCACCCAGCTGGTGAGATCCGCTGTCCAATTTTTCTGCCCTAGCAAAGTTAATCTAGCACAGCCTTGTAGCTACGACAACAGACGTGCTACAAAATACAAACATGCAAAACACTAACTTCAGCTTCTGGCCTACGCCGCAGGAGAATCCAGATAGACAAATCCTTCGAAGGGATGGAAAAATCCAGCTACTTTTATATCCATAACTCCTCAGTAACTTAAAAAGCGAATAATTTGTGAGCCACTTTAGGTTACGCGTGCGCAAACGTTTAAAAACGGGTGATTTCTTTCGAGTTTCAAGCACTTTGTCTGCCTACTTAACTAATGATGTAACCATGTAATCAAACCGTAAAGCTGCAAAATAACTGAAGAGAAGTAACTAGTGAGGATGACCCATGAAAGTCCATTGGTTACGCCTCCAATCTATTTCTGGTGGTGCATCATCCAAGACAGCCTTAGTGTGCTTGCCTTACCTGTAGCTGCTCTTTTCACCACACAACTCCACAGTTGCCTCTTATTCAGTCGCTGACGGGAAAAATTATTAAAAATGTCAGTGGCGCAAACAATGTTTCAAGTATATGTCGATTCGAAGAAGGACGCTGGTAGTCACATTTCCAAATAGTCAAATCTCGCTATGCTTGGCTGACGGCAGCTTCTTATGTCTAGTCATCACAACGACTCTCTTAATCAGCAACGCCCACAATAGCGTCAGTCACAAAAAGCCACCCACCGAGAAGGAGGCAGTCGGTACAGCAACTGGTAAACTCGACCAGTTCGTTGGTTAGTCTCCAACTCTACGGTGTTAGTGCATAAATTATGAGCTTCTTGACTGTTTTTGCCAAGCTGCATGACAAGGTTGACGATGTAAAAACACTTCAACAGGCACCACTTTTTTAATTCTTTGTGGTATGTTTCGCTGCACAATTTATTTTAGGAAGTAACCCTTCAAGTTTCAAGAATGCAAATATTCCAACATGCTGACTTTCCGGCTCCTTCAGGAAGCAGTGAAGGCTTGGTGTAAACCATTAACTGCAGGCGTGCAAATCCACAAAATTAACAGTAGTAGAAAACGGTATAAGTAATTTTCACGAGAACAAGATTTAATTTTCAAACAGCTTTGTCTCTAATGTAAAAAATCACATGCTCGTAGTCAGTGGAACACTTATCACAAGTTTACGCTGTTGACGCAAGCAAGCACTTTCAAGTGCTTAGTTACTCAAGAGTTTGTTAAATTTTCTCACGGCTTCTTTCGCTGGTTTCTACCCAATTTTTGAAAGTAACCTCCCTGACATCCTGAAGTTTTATTCAGGCAAACCTTGCTCTATTCAACAGTTGACATCCGTAATTTGCAGAAACCCTTATACATTGTGTAGCTGTCCTTGATATCTCTTCCTTACATAGCTGCTACCAGTAAAACAGTTTCTCCCTTAGAGCGAAAAGTGGTTTCAACTTGGCACTGACCCATAATTTGAAATTAATGCCATATTTGAAGCTGTTAGACTGGATGAACGACAATGTCAGTCCAAGCCCTCAATGCATGAAGGCTCTTTTTTTACTTGATCTGCTTGTTTTATCTCCTCGTGATCAGGTGGACTGGGCGAATCAAATTTCTCGCTGACATTTTCGCCTAATCTAGATGGTCCTGTAAATCACAGGAGTGAAGAGAAAGCAATAATAATCTGATCGCCACGAATTAAATGTACCTAGTATGGCTGCCAGTCACATTTACCGGAACCATGTTTCCGCATGCCGTACATCACATGCTGAGATCTTTTAAATGGCTCCTTTATACAGATGAGTGATTCGAACGTACGACGCCTAGTGTGGGAGTGCGCACCTATTGTTCGTGGACTAGTCGAGTTCCGTATGAGAATCTGCGTCCATGATGTCACCTCGATTGGTGATGAAACGTTTGCAACCAAATTGCCCAGCTCATGAACAAGCCAACGAGAATCTGCTATCTTTGACAGACAATCTCCTCTTGATGTAAGCATGTTTCTACTACGGCATGCCAGATATTGCATTGCTCGTCTAGGTGAATGAGACTGACACGCTATGTTTAACACGTTTGTGTCCCTAGACCATTCACACACTGTTCATTGCCTTCTTGTCTTTGGATGACAAATCAAAATGACTACCCAGAAAAAATTCAAGAAAACGTATCATAGACGTGTACCCTGCTAGTGGCCTGGTAGATTTTACCACCAGAACAAGCTGGTTGGGTTGCTGTTACTGGTTTGCTCTCCCATTTTAGCAGTGCGCCCTTTTGGACTTGACCTGATTTTCTATGATTTACGTTTCAGCGCGATGGGTCGTTCTTACAAGTTAAACAGTCGCAGTACCAACCAGAGTTACTTTGGTCAAACATTTTTGATTCGCAGCACAACAGAAAAAAATTGAGCAGCTGCCAAATAGATCATTCTGAAATGTTTAAATATTAATGGACCTATTGTTCAGGGACTTTTCTTTAATTCTGACCAGGTCCCATAGAAGCTAGCCGATTGTAGTGATATAATGAGATGAACTAACGAAAATCGCTCGAGGAGGTCACCGCCGATGAAAACGAGATCAGAATATCTGAGCAGTCACACCATCAGAAAGAGGAATCTCCTGAAGTATTTCGAAAAATAATTCCGAGGGTACTGAATTACTCTTGGTCGACTGCGAAGAGTATTGGTACTGGCCAGAAGCAATCGCGTTGAACGTGAGGACTTACTGTGTATTGGTTTTTCATTACAAAACACATTACTCCAATAATTATGCTGGTATATTAGTTTCTGCGTTTTTGTCGAGCCTGTGAAAAGCTCCATCCATAACTGTCCAATTCTTGAAGGTATGAACCTTTCAGCGATACCTTATTCATAGATATGTTGTCTAAAGAGGAAGCGAATTCGGTTGCTTTCCTCATTTTATTTGTCAGGGTACCAGTATACCTACAGTACGTTGCATGGGCCACAAAACTTAAGGCCTGCAATTTCCACACTCACATACTGGTTTCGAGTATATGTAAGTAAACACATCAATTCCACTTAATATTGTTTCAAAAAATTGAAATATTGTACAAAAACAATCGCGAGTTTTGCGAACTGAAGTTTTTCGGATGCAAAACAAAATAAATTTCTGATTTTCACTTTGACTGTTCCAATTGCTTAGTTGATCGCAATATGATTGATTGTTCAATTTCACGCATCACAGAATAAGAGTGATAATTTTTTACTACTACTACAACAGGCCTACAGGATGGAACAGACTTGTCCTTTTTCAATCAAAACTCAGGACTTCACTTAGATGGAAAGACGGTCTCTGTGTATGACAACCAGTGATACTAAGTTTTTTTGCAGACTACAAAACTAAAAGCTTTTTGCTTTAAAATTTAATCAATCTCCATATCTGAATTAGGAAAGCATTTACCATCTGAGCGCATAAAGGGGGAAGAAGTTTCATCAAAAGCCTTATTAAAAGTACCTTGAAAATCTACTAGTACGACCCTTTTGTCCAGCTTTTTCTGCCCGTTTTACTTTTCGATTAACATTTAGGCGAATTAGGATAATAGTAAAATTTGGTGATAAACGCGTAGCTGAATTCCTATGAATTTCGCTGACTTGATGTTATGTACACTTTGGTGTTCTGAATATCTCTTCAAATGTCGCAGTCTCCATGACAGATCAGCTAATTGGTGTCTGTTTACGTAGACGATATTCGATTGCCGGATGTTTGAATGCATCCCAGAAAGTATCCACAAATCTCAGCATAAATACACGACTCCTATCTACTTAGGTCTTTTGTAAAGAGACTTCTGCACCGTTGCAGGCAGATCTGGAGTTGAATAACAACGGTTAGTATGTTCACAAGGCCTAATGAATTAACGTTTTGTCAGTCTATTGCTGAGAAGCCAAAAGTACACACAGAAACTGCCACAGCGTCGATTGTCGACTAAACTAATCAGACTCGATCGAGGTCATTTACCGACGATTGATCCTTAAGACGGCTTTTCTGGGCTACCCTTACTATCGGTACGTTGGTTCATCGATCAACGCTGTTTAACCTGTACACTGTAGCCTGAGATAGTATTTGGATCTATAATGATTCAGATACACCGAATTTTAACTACAGCCCACTATTAAACCGATTATAAATTTGTTGCAATACGTGCCTTACGCTTAGTTTACGTGACTTAATTCGCGGATGTAAAAGGTGATTTGGACAAAATGCCCGCGCCTGTCCATGTTTCGGCCCTCGAATGATACTCGTTTGACAATACCCATGGGAACAAACCTAATTAAGTTGGAGCTCATCAAAATAGTTACAACCTGCAGGAGCGCAGTTTTCCTACTCTACCGATTCTCGTCCGAACACGTCCACCTGAACATCAAACTAGTCCCTGATTAGTTAGTGCTCTTCGGTAATTTGAGCGTGCGTGATGACCTTCTATAATATTTATTGGACACCGTCTATGGTACCGCTGTTAACGTTAAGAACATGATAAGAAATGTAGTTTTTAACACCAGGACTTATCTTTTTTGGTGCCGTGACGACGATTCACTCATTCGTCGATAGTTCTAATTCAACATTCAGTAGTTCGAGTACAACGATATTCTTAATTTTACCACCCACACTTTTATCGGAGGGAAGAATTGGATCGTGAGAAAGTTGTTCGATAAAAACGAAGGACGCAACTGTGTTCTGTTCGGATTTCTCTGGTTGCTCGTCTCACCCTTACTGTGTAATTAACACAATTATATGAAAACAATAAATATAAGAAAATAACATAATATGATATAAATTATAACAATAAAGTAGTTCTCCTCAGCTGGACCTTTGTAGAGCAGAAGGCTTCTCCTTTGAGGTGTTCAATTGAAACAGGTCCGTCAGCGCATTTCGTGTAAAGAATGATAACAACTTTTTAGACGTTCTTTCAGCATACAAGTAGATTTTTGTAACTGCATACATACCTTTGGAAGAATCGCCAGGAAGATGATATCTTCATTCGTTGCGCAGAAGCGTTTCATCACAGCTTCCAACTTGAAGATTAAGTTATCACGAAACTATATATCCCACACACTACAAAGTGTCTTTCTTATATAAATAAAAACCTAAATGCCTGTTCAAGTTGGGAAAGCGAAAACAGTCATTTGCATTCTTGCGTTTGTTGGCGACAGTCTTGTCTCATAATACATACTCATTTGTAGCCGACTTATATCATTAATAGCAATCACTTCTACAATATAACCAATAACACACCGTTTCTTTTGGCTACACTTTAACCGAATAAACTTTCTCCCGTCCCCGTATATTGTCACGACTTAGTTTTGCTCTTTAATTATTACCAAACAACCCCCATCATTTGCCGTAGCACTGATTTCCGGAAAATACTCTTCATTATGACCAACTGCTGTGAAATCTAACCGCAGTTTCAGTGGGCTGGTGCTTTTTACGATGATTAAGTTGGCAACCCTAAACTTTCCTGCATCCTGTAATCCAGTGATTATCGGATTGTTTTTAAGTCTAGATCTCTGAGACTTGTGTCCAGCCAAATCCGAACTACCGCGTCACGTGGTTAGTCCCCCGGTATCAAACTGCAAGATCCAAGATGCCTGAAAATCAAATGTCGGACAGAGATTGAATGCCCGTTTGCTATAATGATGAGGTGAATCATAGTGAATCAAGTTGCTACGAAAGCGGCACTTCCTCATTAAGTACAGTCACACGAGGGGGCGACTCTGATGAAGTCAGTCGATACACGTAAGTTTTACCGGGTTAAGAAAAGGCAAACACTGAGAACCGCCCAAGATTACTCGTTTTTCATCACTCACCTAGGATACAGGTGTATTTTAGGCTTGGTAATCGTGTTGAACGAAAACACCTTCTACCACACATCAAGATATCGACTTGGTTGGGTACTGGTGCCTCGAGCACTTGGTTTTGAAATTCACTCCGTTCAGTCTACGTACAAATTCTGATCAGTCTGTTTTGATGTTTCGCTGGTCACTCGTTTTGTTGTTAGGAAGCTAAGCAACGTTGAAGCTTTCAAAACGTTTCCATTATGTCTGCTAAGACCAACACATTCATAGTGAGACACTTTGAGGACCCTGGAACGGTTTTTTATTGGTCCGCTATGACAGAAGACGTAATTTTTCGCGAAAATGGTGTGTAACTAAATTATTCAACCAAAGACGGGATGTTGGAGCCGAAATTAGCGTCTTATTGAACTTCTTCCGGGAGTTGCAACCTAACTGAGTCTTTGGTAGCTGATAAATTCATTTACTTAGTCACACCGCGAATTTTGCTAGTGCGAGGGGACTGTTCATCAATCGTATCTTATGTGATACTGCACCCGGGAGTGCACGTTTACTTCAGTGAGGTGCCACACTGCCTCATTACACAACAATACACAGGCGGTTGACCTAATTTTGTGCTTAGACATCTGCAACCATGCTGACCAATACTGTAGAAGACAAGGAACCATCAACAAGACTTGGGCTTAAGCATCCTGTTTAATTGTGTACATGTCTTCCTTGAAAGCAAGGTGTGTTCAGTATTATTTCCACTAACCCACCATTTTCTTCTCATTTCCATTGAATTTCACTTAGTTATTGGAGCTGCCTTCGGACAGGTGATGTGTATTTTCAGAATGCTTAGTTCTTCCAGGAGTGGATATGCCCAGAGAATAAAATAGGCCGTTCATCACGCACCTAAGCAGCCATGTGCCCCGAAATTTGCAGCTTTCAGCAATTAATTTATCATGCATCAAAACCTCCTATTTCATCTCCACTATCAGTGATTCAGCATCACTGCGTCGTCTCATCTGTTTTGGATTCTGACCAAGCAGAATCATTCCTCATGTGAACAATGCTTATCAATATCGACAGTCCCCAGAGCTCTGTGCATCTGGCTACACAATGTGAGTCACCGTCAAATGATGCATAGCAAAAGGCGAGAATTCAGGCTTGATGTATCATCTCCGAAACGTGATTGGACCGTCACTGCAAAGCTTTAATTTTGGAGAACTCTCTTGCGCAAAATAAGAGAATAAACTGTCCAACTCGGACATGTGTAGATGATGACGGGTTTCTAACAATAAATCGTGAAATTCGGTTTCTCAGTTGCCAGACATTGATTGTTTCGATGTCTTAAAATATACTCACTATTTCACTTACTCTGTTGGTAATCAGAAATCGATGATAACATGGTAGGGCTTCAAGCAATTATGGCACCGATTTTATAAACCATATACTACACCCTCATATCAGGCGCCTTAAAAACATCTCTTGATATAGGGCATTTTCACAGTAAATAATAAACTTCGATGTCGAGCATTTCCAATTGTGGGTATCCACTAGTAGTGCTCGATAGTCTCGCTAATTCAGAATTTACAACCTATTTATCACGGAAAATGTCGAATCGAAGAGCAGCACCGCCTCTAACTACTTGCTTTACACGGCCACACTCAAGGGGTTCAGTTGAAAATATTGTGTTCAAATTTGCGAACACAATAAATCCACCAATATTTCATAAAGTGAGATATGTAGTAGATTATACATGGAGACAGACGAAGGTGGAAGTTTTGGCGATGATAATGTGCCTAAGCAGTAGGGGAATCAGCAACTGTCTCGTTGACTTATCGAGAATCGCACACACGCTACTGCACACACCCGGCTCAAGGGGCCATCATTTTTCAGGGCATGACAGCGCAATGAATTAATGGGTTGGTCGACATTTCCACGCGGTCGTTGGAATATTTGTTACAGTGAACAGACCAATAACCAAGCAGCTTACCTAACCTAACTATATTTCACAACATTCCCGGATAAGTATAAGCTAAACAGACTTGCTTGCTTACCATGCGTCACTGTATTTTGGGATGCTTTTTTAGCATAATTACCCTTGTCAAATCCGTTAAGTAAGCATGAACAGGTTAAAAACGCGAATAAACAAAACCTATTTTTTTCAGAGTGAATTTGATAGATTACATGTGATGTTAACTCCTGCTTCAACTGTAATGACAG